AAATTACAAATATTAACAACAAATATTGTACACAACTGTACGACAGTTTAGTTTAAATTCTTTCAGCTTGTTTTCATCTTGGAATAAAATTTAATTTCAAAACCCATTTCTCAGTTCTAATTCTCATGTTCTCACTATTATAAATGCACAATCGAAAAACAATTGATCATGAGTTAAAAAAAAACGAACAAAAAATAATCATGCACTTGGACATCAGTGCACAATGACTCAATTTCCACATCTCAGTTTGCAAAAAAATATACATGCACACACAAACACGTCTTGTAAAATTACATTTTAATTTGTTAACAATCTTGCATATTTTTTTTTACATCTCATACATTTACATAAGCCTTTTGTTAGATGCTAATTGCGTGCCTCAATTAACCCTGAATAATGATTGGCTGTGAATGTGCATGAACTTGCATTAAGAGTGCGATGCTCAGACACGCTTTTATGCCCAGCGGCAGAGTGCGGATCCCACAGGCACCCTGAAGTGGACGATACAGGGATTAGAAGGGCACGGGGAACAGCCAAGACACCAACACAGTTACCTCTAGTGCACTCGTCCGCTCCCTTTTACTCAATTACAGCCACACAATTACTGAATAAAGAACATTGAGCTCATAAAAATGCATAGAAAGCAAACAGAAATCCACCTTAACGGCAAGAAGCGGACATAGATAAGTTTGTTTTTTAATTCATTCATCTAAAAATATCTATACAGTAGTCTTGCTATTGTAGCGCTCCCTCTCTTTCTCTCACGCTCTCTCGTACCGAAGCCCACCTCTCAGTTGCCCTCCCCCAAAGAGTGTCATCATGACACGTAGCTTTGAAATACTCTGACAGGCATAGAATTGCTCATACTGGTGCTAAGCACTGAAGAAGCCAGACTATTGACTAGGAAATGTGTCATTTTATTGCTTTGCTCATCTCACGTAAACAAATGGAGTGATGGCAGCTGAATATCCTTGCACTGATGTGACTGAGGCACACAGAGGGAGTGAAATCACCAATCAACCTCGCCAGGGGAAAGACGGAAAGGATTACTATAAACAGGACATCTTGATTTTTTTCGCCACCTGACGTGGTCCGCATCAGATTTCAGCAAGGTGACCCGCAAGATCAACTGTTTCACATTCAGCATCACTCTCTCAATGCACTTGAAAAACGCTGGATGTGTGTTCACTTCATCGAGACCACAGGAAGCGCACACAGTCCTATTCAACTCTCCGATGATGAGTGGCTCACCTATCCCTCGAGTAGAGGCAGCATCAGGTGCGGATGTTCACAGGAACTTCAATGACAGCGGCACTATCGGTGATGGCTGGAGCATTAGTGGCAGTGGTCCCTGGCTTCTCGCAGTCATGCTGTCCCTCATAATTATGGTGACAGCTTGTGGGAACATTTTGTTGATCGCCTTGGTGTTTGCACATCGGTCGCTGCGCTGCACCTCCAATTGCTTTCTGATGTCCCTCTTCCTGTCAGACTTGATGGTGGCTCTGGTCGTGATGCCCCCTGCTATGCTCAACGTGCTGTGCGGGACCTGGGTTCTGGCGCCTGGATTCTGCCCCGTCTGGCTTTGCTTCGACGTGATGTGCTGTAGTGCTTCCATCCTCAACTTGTGTGTCATCAGTCTGGACCGCTACCTCCTCATCATCTCGCCGTTGCGATACAAACAGCACATGACCCCGCCTCGTGCCTTGCTTCTGGTGGGTGGGGCTTGGGGGTTGGCAGCCCTCACTTCCTTTCTGCCAATCAAGATGGACTGGCACAGCCTGGGTCGCACCCCAGACCTTGCCGAGAACGATCCCGCCAACGCCACGGTCTCCCAGTTGAGTTCCTTCTACCCCTCTTCGTACTTCCAGCTTTCCACGTCAGGGACGCCGTCCACACAGTGCCGCCTGCGGGTGACTCTCCCCTTCGCCCTCGTGGCGACCTTTCTCACCTTCTTCTTGCCCTCTACGGCCATCTGTTTCACCTACTGTCGGATCCTGCTGGCGGCCAGAAGACAGGCACGACAGGTGGAGGCTCTTACTCATCCCGCTTACCCACATCACTCAACCGGCGAACCATCTCGCCCTCCTTCTCCCGGACATGCCGTCCAGGATGGAGATGACTACAGCCATCAGGAGCCACCCGTGTTGCGGCAAGCTCCGGTGAGAAATCCAGAGTCAAGAGAAAAGATTGGGATAGAAATTAAATTCATGAAGTGCCAAGAACTAGAGTAGAGTTATTAGGTAAATGTATTGCTTCATGTATGTGTGTGTGAATACTTCTTAAAACTTGCTGTGAACTCTCGACAAACTAAGCCACTTGGAGTAGAGGTCTTCACAGGTCCACTTGGATCTGACTACCCGAGATCCGACCCAAGAGGGTTTGGGTCCAAAACTTCTACGAGTGTCTCGGACACAGGCCAGGTTTGGTATTAGCGGCCTCGGGTAATTTCTCATGCTTTTTCCAAATGGATCCAATAAGACCCGAATTCTTTTAAACTATCCTGGATGCGAACATGTGCATTCATGTTAAGTCCATTTTTGAGAAATGCGCGTAGAAAAGGAACATAGTTTGTAACCTCGAAATCCATCTTATAGATATGAGATCAGGAATATCCACTTACTTCATTACGCTGCGTGTTCATGCAGGGCTTTTCTTTTTTGTGTGCAGAAGCCCTTCACCGTAGATTAGGTAAATAACATAGCCTAATAAATCATGGATTTGACAATCGATTTACTTCTTATCAAGCAATCGCGTTTATTTTTCAAATCCGGTCACAACTGAAAGATGTATCCATCAGGCAGGCAAAAATATAGAGTAATATTCGGGTCGGGTATGGATTTTAGGATCCAAGAAGACCTCTAACTTGGAGTGCATACATTCTCAAACTGTTTTGGCCTATTGTTAATTTACGTACCCACTGCTTACGCAAGTGAAGGCTGTGTGATTACAGACACAATGCAGCATGTTGAGAATGTGCAGAGAATTCCCCGCACCTTAACAAACACAAAAAGAAAGGGGAAAGAGATGTAGCGGGAAAAGGAAAATTAAATTTTAAGGACTCAAAACAGAAAGTAATGAGAGACAAGATGAGGGTGTCAGAGTGCCAATAAGGCATTTGAAGATGAGGAAGGGCGAAATGGGAGGGTAGAACTATTCAAGAGAACAGCAAAGACCTTGCTAGGCACTGTTACTTTCAAGAGCTTTCATCTGAGAGAAGGAAAGGCATAAATAATTACCCCAGGCCAAGATAACATTACTACCCATCTCTCAGCAGGAGAATCACTGTGAAATCTCGATGAATATATTCTTTTCTGTCTCTTCCTCTCAGCTGTCAGTGAACAGTGAGCGCAGACTGGCACACAGGCAAAGGAAGAGAGCTCTGAAAGCCAGTCTTACCCTGGGAGTGCTCCTGGGTCTCTTCTTCAGTGCCTGGCTTCCCTTTTTTATCACCAACATGGCACAGGTCAGTCCACAAAACAGTTAAGAAACATCAACTCACTTGTTAATCCTTACCTTGACCTTAACAAGCATGTAAAAAAAGGGGATGGGTGGCAAATTAACTGCAGTATGACAAACTGACATCCCATTTAATTGAGCAATTATTCCTTATCCTGCTCTCGAGCTCTCAACGATCCCGTCCCCCATCTGTGTCCCTCTCTTTGCTCAGATTTCAGGTCTCTAGCCCTCCTTCACACACAATATGGTGTGTGAATAGCACTCCATCTCTGTCTCCTACTCTCCCCTTCTTCATCCGTGGCATCCCAACATCCTCTTCCGACGAACTAGACATCTTTGACCTTTTCCACCTCTTTGGTATCGAGTCTCAGCTACATTATGTATTGACTTTGTGATCTAAGACCTTTTCTTCTGTTCATTCAGGCGGTGTGTGAGTGTGTACCACCCTCCTTCTTCGATGCCATCACCTGGTTGGGCTACTGTAACAGCACCATGAATCCAATTATATACCCAATGTTCATGAGGGATTTCAAAAGGGCTTTGGCACGGCTTCTACCCTGCTGTTCTTCATCTCAAGCCCCTCGTAGGCCATCGCTGCCACTTTCCCTTTCTCTACGCAACTCAGGGGAGCCACAACTGCCCACTGAACCCCCCTCCCTTGTGTCCGACCCGCCTCAACTACCGGCGACGGCCACGGACGCTGTTAACCTTCTCGACGCAGAAAATGCCGGCATCGACCTGCCTCTACTGCTGCCCAACCAGGTCGATACATTAGACGATTGACACGCCAACCGAGACAACAAAAGAAGTGCAATATACTGTGAATGGCAAGATGTGAAACTTATAATTACAGGTTTTTGGAAAAATGTGTTGAAATGTACCATGCTAAAAAAAATCAATGGGATAAGTGTTAATGGGATAGTCGTGCCTAAACTGGAAGGCTGCATCGCTCCTCAAGGCAGATCAGGGAGATTGCACATTTAGAACGGACCCAACACACATCCAGCTTCATTCATTTCCATAACAACCAAAACAACAGATGGATAAAGCAGACGAGAGCGAAATAAATCTCACTAATACCTCTCACAATGTCAAGTGGTTTGTCTGTGGAGCCGTAATTCACATCTTAATTAAACAACAACCCACTTCTAATGAAGGGGGCAAATGGTGTATACAGAATACTGACAGTTTTCACATAGCAGTTTATCACAAATTATATTTAGCAGTGCTTAAAGAAAAATCTAAATTAATTAGAGATGATACCCACAAATAATTAATAGATATTATTAGACAATTCCAGAATAACAAAAAGCCAATGTTCCAGTTGGTTCTAGCTTATACTGATAACTTACACTCTGGGTGGTGTCTAGATGGTAACGCTTCTTCTGCTAAAAGTCTTGTGAGATTCACATGTGACATTCAAACACTGTGTTTATTTGAGTCCCACAGCAACCCTACGCCTAACCCTTAATCTTGGTAGCAGCAAATGCGAATCTCAGGAGTATCTTGGAACGAGGTTTACCATCTAGACCCAACCCACATTTTATGAGTTGTGAATCAAGGAAATGTCAAGGCTCTTGGCTCAGAACCAGCAGGTTTGCCATTGACTAACTGCTCCTGTGCTTCAGTGTGCGACTGGTAGGTTGTGTTTGTGCATTCAGTCGTCCAGTTCGTGTCGTCCCAGTCCCAGGACGTGTGCTCACAGTCTGTCTCACTTTCATCGTCTCTGTCTATTTTGCCTTGATCTTGAGATGGTTCAACATGATCCTTGACTCCGAGAGCGCATAGCGAATGTGCGTTCCCTTGACAGGGATCAGGGACGCCATCACATTCACTGATGGAGTCCAATAAATCAGATATATCAGGGATATCCCAGCCATTCTCAGAGTCCTTCCTCTCGCACCGTTCCCCGTCTACAGTCTGTGTCTTGTATTTATCTACATTTGCCTCTGTGGTGTCTGAGGTATCATTGTTTGAAATGTCCATGGATGGTTCCTCTTTGACTCTGCTCTGACCAGCTAATTCTGGAGTGCCTGCTTTTTCCTGAGATAAATGTACCAGCTGTAGTTTGCCACTCATTGCTCCAGCTTCTTCCCTGGTAGGAACCCCTACTGCTACTAGGATGGTGTCCATCTGACGCATATAGTCCAGGTGTCCTTTTACCTAAGAGGTGGACAGAACATAGCCAGTATTCATAAAGCAAGTGGGAAATACTATACATTACTTAGCATTTTTACAGTGCTTGCAGTGCATTATTATTTTGATATCCTCCTTCTAATTTTAGTGGTGCTAGTAAACTTTTCAGAAAAATCAAGCTTTGGTGCATAACTCAGGCATGTATTATACCTCAAACCACGAAACGTAGGCTAGTACTTTTTTAAGTGATCAAATTTACATCTTTTTTCATGCCCTGGTGGATGATAAAAGCAGTGGGAAAAGATTTGTATTATAAAAAGAGAGGCCTGAACCAACATACATAGACTCAGGGGTGGAATCTTTGATTTAGGCTAGCAAGTAACCACCTAGCAACAGAATAAAACAACATAATGTTTTGCACAGACAAGGACCAGTGTAAAATGTACATAAGGGTAGATATTTAATATCTAATCCATATTCATATCTATATCCATATTTAATTTTTCACAGATAAAATAGACATAGTCTTTTCAAGGGTTTGCAATGTTTTTAACTTTGCTAACTGACACTGGAAAATAGGTAAAAAATAAAATTACATCTGAAAAACACTTAACATTTTAATCTTGTTTTATGAACTATATAAATTACTATTTTTTTCTAGACTTAATTTGGAAATCTCCTTTTATTTAATATTCACCATCTGGTGATCATTATGGTATCACTGCAATATCTGTGTACTGTGATTGGTCTATTTTAACAGATTTTCACTATAGCTGCTTTGACATTGCAGCACCACATTATGTGACATCTGCCAAGTTTTTATGTGAACAGCAAGATTACAGTTGCTCTGATAAGCCTAATTTAAACCTAAAACGGTAACACTATTATTGTGCCGTCTTACAAGCACTGGTATTTATTTCAAGAAATGCAGATTTAGTTGCTCATTAACATTTCTTCACATGCCAAACGAAGGTGCAATTCTTCACATGCCTCACATCGCAGTCGCATAACCAGGGTTCTTGAACTGATTTCCTTGCCATATCTCCCGCCGATTTATCTAAGCTGTATAATTATTTGTTACATGAAAATCATTTTACTGCTTTCACAAAAAAACAAGACATAAAAGATATACAAGCATTTTGTGATATGTCACATGGATGGCGGGCATGATCTGTTTCTCAGTGTAACTTAGAAGGCATCGCTATGAATAGATCATTTGAAGTTCAAGTGTCTTGATTTTTATTTTTTTTTTACATTTGTGCATTGCATAAATGACACTTTTTTAAAGGTAATTTTCCCTTTTTTTATGAGGTAACAGCACTGGATTAAAGGACTCCACTTGAATATCAACGAGCAACTTCCTGCGACAGTAATTACAGTAATTGTAGTCTTTTGTGGGTGACAATTTAACGATGCCCTTTCTATTCACGGCAGGGGGTGTTCTGCAAAAAGCATTAAATCATTTTTGTCCAAAAAAGTAACTTCAGATGACTTCAAATCTTAGCAAGCTGGAAGGAAATTAAACTTTGACTTTGCGATACTATAATGTCATGCCATTGTGTTGAGTTACTATTCCAGCCAGGAAATTGAATCTGAATCTAAATGCATCTCACAGACACCAAGAACATTTGAACAAAGAGCATCTACTAAGAACAACAGGGACTTAATGCTCAATACACACATGCATTTGCTTACCACTGATGACAGATCCACATTGATTATTTTGCGATCTTGCGAATTGATTGGCTGGAGCCCAGCAACAGACAGCTGGACTGACGAACTTCTATACAGGAATCCAAGAAGCCAATCCCCTCTACACCAATAAAAACACAAAGAAACACATTTTCAAACATGCTAATGTAATAACTAGGACTGTCAATTAAATCAACAACAGTTATAAAAAAAATAATAATCATAATCTCCAGAATTGTTTGCAGTTAACATGTTGAGACATTCTGTTACTTTTTAATAAATAACGTGTAATATCTCATTCTTCATCTGGTGGTCTAAAATGTAATTCGGTGAATGTGTCATTTAAATTTCATTTTAAAAGAATTGCCCATCATAATCTAGTTCAATAAAATGAAATGATCTGTTAATGTGTAACTTCAGCTCTTTTCATTTTGAGGCACTAAATGATTTCATTGCCATCCAAATCTGACATAACATTGTTTTTCTCCCATTGATGAAGACATGTGGTCATTCATTTCCATCTTAACCGATGTCTTTAGGTTTGAGAAAAGTTAGCTCAGTGCAGGTTTGTTTCCAAGAACTGTTTGGAATTAACTTAATGAAAGAAATTGCACAAACATCCAGCCACAGTAACTGTGAACATACACCTCTATTTAAATGTCAGGGTCAGTAAAATAAAATAAAAACGTATTCTCTGTTCATTTTAAATTATATTTTTGAAATCCTGTTTTTCAGATTTTCCATAAATACCTATGATGAAAACATCAACATTATTCACACACACACATGTACACATACACACACCGCAAAATTTTGTGTATCGCAAAAAAATAGTTTCCATACATAATTTCATCTATTTTGTGTAAATTATATAGGCTAGTAGCCTGTTCTTTATCCATTTGAAACAAAACTTAATTATATAGCCTATTATTAAATTGTATAGGCCTACATAAAATAATTTTTATAATAAATAATAAATGTACATTTTGCATGTTCAGAAGTAGAGCTGCCCTGTCCTGCAAATAATGTAAACAGGCTTGTGTAAGTAAATTGCTCAGTGCAAAGAAAGAGAAGTAATGGGAACCTGTTATTTCTATGTTCTTTTTTCATGCGTCTAATAGACATGAAGAAGAAAAACATCTATGAGCTTTGCAACATGTCTAGGCTTCATGCTCTATGTTGAGTATGGTTTCACTAATAATAAACATACATTTGCATAAAGCATCCATATTTGTCCATGCCCATGTTGATTAGAGTTTTAAAAATGTGAAAAATATGAATTTAAGCTACATTTAGAACAGATAAAAATGTGCGAATAATATGCGATTAATCATGAGTTAACTCATGACAATCATGCGATTAATCACGATTAAATATTTTAATTGATTGACAGCCCTAATATATATATATATATATATATGTATATATATAAATCAGCTTCTACAAAAATATTAAGCAACAAAAACGTTTTTCAGCATTGATAAAAATAAGAAATATTTCTACAGCAGCAAATCAGCATATTAAAATGATTTATGAGGCATCATGTGACACTGAAGAAGACTACAGTAATGATGCTGAAAATTCAGCTTTGCATTACAGGAATAAATTACATTTTATTATTAAATATATTCACATAGAAAATACTTAAAAAAAAATGTAATATCTCACAATATTACTGTATTTACTGAGCATAAAAGACTTCTTTCAAATATATTATAAGAAATCTTACAAGACCCAAACTTTTGAACAGTAGTGTATAAAAGAGAGAGAGAGAGAAAAAAAAAAAAA